CCTCCAGGCTAATAAGAAGAGCTGGTCCCTGATAAAGATTTGTTAGCAAACTGAAAGAGACGTCCCGGCCAACACACACATACGCGAGCAGACGTACACACACGAGCAGTGTCAGTTTTGCCTGTGACATTTCAGATCGGAAAAATTAAACCTTTTTACATGTAATACGGACACAAATGCTGACTGCAGAGCCAAAACTGACTGTTCTTCACCACGTGGAAAAACTTCACCCGTAGAGCAGTTGAGGCTTTGAAAAAATATTTATAAAGCAATATGAGTATGATGTTTTAATACAGCACTTTAATACATTATAAAAACAAAAGCCCGGCCATTATTTGGCCATCTGACAATTTCTAAATCTTCTTTTCTCATCACTTTAGAAACACTGATCAGGGTGGGAGGTGGTCATATCTTCTGTTTGAAGAAGGGCAGTCAATTAGAATCAAGCTGTGGTCTTAAAGGGGGAGGAGCTTGTTTCACACAGAGGTTGAACTGAGGGGCTTCAACAAGGACAATAAACCATGCAAAGCTACTCTAGCAGAATTTGAGTATAAAAATATGAAGCTGAAAATCAGTTGTCACTTTTATTTTGTTAATGCGCTGAAAAATAAAAGGCTGATTTTTGCAAACAAACGCGTGCTTTCTATTTGAAGAAAATCTAGCAAAGTAGATCGTGCATAATTGGCGCAGTCCTATAAATACCACCGTAACATCATATGGTGGTAACACAAAAAACAGGCATGAGCATCAGATGCCAACATCTCTTCCTCCTACACTTCATCAAGAAGCTAGAAAATACATATAGAGTTACTAGAAGCTGCTGCTCCAACACCCCATAACACAGACGCACTGCAAGAAGACACCTGCTGACGCACACGTGCACACACACACACACACCCTCCCTCTCCTCTTTCTTTTGCTGGCCGAGCTTTAGGCCAACGCCCAGGCTAGCTGATGCTCTGCTGCAGCCACCAGGCATCATTAAATCTGTTTACAGAGACTTCAAGTTGTTTTAATGCAATAAAAAATATAATAACAGAGTTTATTCATTATCATTTAGGCTGACTTAATGTCGTAGTAGTGGTAGACTATTTTCTCATCAGATGCTGACCTCAGTTCCAAGTTTAGTGTATAGTAACATGTGTCCATTTCAGCCAACTCTTTCTTTTTCTATTCCTGCTCCTTACTTTGGTTCACTGTTATAGACGCAGAGTAAGTAGGATTTATTTCTGCTGCTCAAAATAAGGATAAACAAATGACGGCATTAGCTGGGCTGCATATTCTTTTTCTTTACTGATTTTGTGTGAACTATAGAGCTCACTCTGGTCTTGTCACGGTCCTGGATTGGTGACCTGGTGTTTTGAGTTTTGTACTTTGATTTGTGATGTCATCATGGTTTATGACTGCTAGTGTTTTGGTTTCTGTTTTGTATTTCTATCTCTCTAGTTCTTCTTTGTTCTGTGACTTCCAGTTCTTAGGTTTTGTTCCTGTGGCCTCATGTTTAGTGTAGGTTTAGTTCCGTCTTCATATTTATTTTCTTGCGCCCCAGTCAGTCGTGTCTCATGTCGCAGTTTGTTTCTCCTGTCTCTGTGCTCCGTGTTCCCTCTATTCTATTGCCTCTGTGCCTGTCGTGTGTTTCCTGTTTTATTTTGATAGTCCCGGTCCTGTGTGCAGTGTGTCTGGTTTTGCTTCCCCTTGTCTCGTTAGCTCTAATTACTCCTTCTGTGTCTCTTTCCCTCGTTATCCCTCGGTGTATTTAAGCCCTGCTCTTTGCTGTGTTGTACCCTCACGGTGCTGTGGTTTTCCTCTGTGTTTATGGTACTGTTCAGGTTCTCTGTCTCCTGGTTTCCTAGTTTAGCTTTCTTGTATCACATATTAAAGTTTTATCCAGCAATAAAACTGCCGCTTTTACTTTATCATTCAGTCTCAGAGTCCTATGTTTGGGTCCTGCATTCTGCCTGCCACACAGCACACCATGACAGGTCTGCCACCTTCTGAAGGAAAGATATCATGTCAAGGTAAATAAAAGCACAGCGAATATGATTCGCTCCCTCTGTAGCAGCAGTCTTGAAAGGCTCGCCTAAAAGCTGCAGTGTAGAAGCATCGTCTAGGCTTTCTGTCATTGGAGTACTTAAAGAAACTTCATCAAGAACATTGGTCTACTGTACATAAGGTAAATAGTGGAGATTTACTCTTACACAGGGTGTCAGTGCCATAAATAGAT